GGGGGGTTGTTGTTGCTGGTGTTGTTGCTGTTGTTGTTGTTTTTTTATGACTATAAAAGAGAGCTGACATGACCTTTCATAATGTGTTTCTGCTAATAGCCAAGATACTTTTGTAGCTTCGCAAACAGAGAGAAATTGAGAAAAGTATTTCTTTGACGGGTAGGCCTACGGTGTATTAGTTAGCACTGTGATGATCGAAAACCAATTCTCATGAATGTAAGTTCGACGCATTAGCTTGAAGACCAACGCACCAACTGTCTACCTTCTGATCCGGTTCGACTGTTAGGAAGCCCTTCAATCATAATATGTTATTATGACACCACAAGGAATAGGCCAGTGTGAGAAAAGAAGCATGAATCAAGTATTTAATCACATACGTGGTTATTGATTTGTTTTACATTTTTAGTCTGTTGTCTCGTAGTCTCGTAGAAGATTTTCTGCATAGCCAGGTGATGAAAAAATATTAAAAACTACTTTAACTGGGCAAAATAGCTTGTTGAAGATGATAAAAACTGCTTTGGTTGGAAACAGAGATAGACGGGAAAACGCAAGAACCAGAACAAAAACAATACCTTGCGCTCCTGTCAGGGATGCTGTACATAAGGCTACAGCGAAAGCAGCGAGTATCTGGAAAGATGTTCCCATCGTTATCAAGTTTCTGCTCTAAGCGTTACTGCTAATTTTTATTTCTTCAGACTGAGCGGGGTTTCCTGTCTGAACTGCTCTGCCGTATCCCAAAAGTAAAAGTCGACTTGCTCTTCCGACGGGCTGGTGAAGATTACTGGAGATAAGACATGACTTTTATATTTAAAAGTGCTGATATTTCATATCGATCAGTTGTCTTCTGGGGTTTCAAATGTGACTTTGAAGTTCGAGTGCACAAATGCTATCATGAAGGAAAGTTCGTGGGTGTAAGGAACACTTGTCTTTTCCCCCATATATACTAGTGGTTGAGTAGGAGGCGGTAGCATGTTTATCTAATTGAAATCAATAACCATTGAGCTGTGGAGGTTGACTGTTGTGAGACGGCCACGCCATTTTTTGGTAACCTGAACAATTTACTGAGGAATTGTTATGTTGAAGGTGGGTGGACAAAAGTTGGGCCTTTTTTTTTCTTCTAAAAATCCATCTTATTTGTGTACATGAAGGTGTCAATTTGACTTTGTTTGTGCAACTTTTATATGGGGAGGAAAATGAAAGCAGCATATTAGATTGTTTACTTTATTGGGTCAGCGTAAAGTAGTTGTATGTACAGCAAAATTGACCTTTGTCGTTCTTTTTTCAAGCCAGTCTTTTGCTGCTATTTTTTTTTGTTAGTTTGTTTGTTTGTGGGGTTTTTAATATTCAGACACACTTAACAGCAAACAGTTATGTTTTAACATAATTTCTACATTATTTTCCTGTCTGTTTTTTACTACAACGTATGCGCTTAAAATAATAACATTTTCTAGGTTAAATAAATAATAACTTGCGTTTCAATCACTTAATTAAGAAAATGAACCCCAAATGAAATATTATGTTGAACCTGTACGGATTTCTCAGCTCAAAATTAACATTTGTCTTTTAAACTGTTTTCTTGCTCATGTATTATAATTATCATTTTTGTTATAATACATTTGCAGGAACCATTAAAAACCATTCTTAGGCAAACAGAATGTCGTAATTCGCTCATTGCCAAGTTTTGACCGCCCCCC